AGCCGAAATTTTAACGCAAATGTTCAAAAAAGACGAAAAATTGAAAATTGTCGCAGAGAGGCTATTTAAGACACTTTTCCAGACGATTTCGACCTGGAAAGGCGAATGGAGTACACCCCAAGTCCGTACGACCCCTCATTTTGGCCCAAAAAGCCGATTTTTTTGATTTTTTAAAAGGCTTAATTCTTACGGGAGACGTTTTCGCCGTTGTACCCCGTATTGGGTGTCGTTTTCGCAAATAAGGTATGTCAGAGGCTTAATATGAGGTCCTCGAAGCGCTTTTGTCTACCAAGGACATTTTAGACTATGATACGCCGTGGTCCAAAATTGTTCAAAATGTTCAAATTTGTTAAAACGGCCTACAGAGTCCATCGTTAGTAATTTTCCGAGTAATTTTAGTATGAGAAAGGCGATGAACCATACTGCAAGTGCGTACATCATACCAGTCAGGCCCCAGAAGACGCCATCTTGGAAAATAGGGGCCTAACTAACTTTCGTGGCACCGTCACTGGCACTACGACCTCCGACCAGGCGCGAGTAGTAGTGCACAGGGGGTGGATACACCTCGCACGCTGGTGATCTGACATATGTCAGATGACCACACTCTCATCCTGTTACTGATTTGCCCTCTTCATAGTATTCTTTTCGTAAAAACCTTTATATCTACTGACAACTGTTTTCATCAGTAATACAAAATAATTTCTTTTTACATTACTGACAATCTTTTTCTTTTATCAGTGAGTTCCTCGAAACAATATACAGAATACGTAACAAATTAGCCAGTATTCCTGCTGCGTAAAAACCTTAAGGTAGTAAAGGTGTGTGAGAGTGCAGTGGATGTATGTAGCTAGCTGAGCTAGAAAGGTGAAGTTTGGGGCAGAGAGCTCTAAAGTGTGTTCTTGACGATCCTGTAAGGTGAAGTTTGCCACCTACCCACGTCGCCGCCAGCATCCTCCGGCGCGCTCAAGGTTGAAACAAATTGAAATTTTTCGGAAGATTTCGGGTTATAGGGGTGAAAAGTTCGACAAGGTAAAAACAGCCAGAATTGTTGTAAAAGCTCCTAGAGAACCACCCCTACGCATCCTCTAGTCGATGTGAGTTCCCTCCGGGTTTCATCACCTCTTTACGTCCTACACCATTAAAAGTCAACTTTTTAAACGATTAATTACCCTAGAGTGTAGATAAAAGTCGCAGACGGAGAGTGAGAAAGTACTAAATACGTTCCCAACAACAGATTTGCTGATTTAAAAAAAAAAAAACCATTGGTAACTTACTAGGTCTGTATACAAGCTCGGCTTGGGCATTGTTAAATACGCTGCTATGAAGAATTTTGTTTATACTGGCGTATTTAAAAATACGTAAACGAAGCATGTTTACAGAACTCAGTAAGGTAAGCTACAATTAAAAAGGTTCATAAGTGTCTAGTGCGAGGTGTATCCACCCCACAATTAAAAAGGTTCATAAGTGTCTAGTGCGAGGTGTATCCACCCC